ATTGCTGAAACACATACAACAGTGGTTGTAGTAATATGTTTGAAAGAAAGTATAGAGTGAGATAAGAAAGAATAAGCACAATTTATAGCTCTGTGACATATTTTATTATTGTTCCTTTTCTTACTTCTTCATCCCAAATGAACCATTACAGGCAAACAGATATGCTGTCTTTTTTGTGTGCAGAAATATATTTTTCTTTACCTCCCTTTTTGGACTGCTCATATACATCTCCTTATGCTCTCCATAGTCCATAGTGGTAACGACTGCTGCTGTTGGCCAGGAATTGATGTCAACAGCTTTCATCAGACATTTCAGCCCTTTATCAAGCTATCTGAGCTGGTAGCTGCAAAACCCTGGTCAGGCTCCACAGCTCCTGGGTTATTTGGCAACAACCCGTCAGTCTGGGGTTCCTGATCGATTTACTGGCAGTGATTCAGTCACTTCAGTCACTCAATCACTGGAGTCCAGGCTGAAGATGCAGGATTATTACTGTCAGCAGAGATATAGCTACCTTTTTACACAGTGATACACGTCTGTACACAAATCGCTACAAGATCTCAGCAGGATCCACAGAGGTCTGAGACTGAGACAGTTGCTGAGCTGCAACTATTGAACTGAACAGAGATGGGTTTGTACAATATTTATATATGTATTGTGTACTAAACACACAGAAGGAATGTGTAGATACTCTTATGTTATTAAACGTAAAAGGCTATGACATTTTTGAGTGTCTTAATCGTTTATAAATGTTGTGTTATGAAGACATAGGAAATATGTGTAGATGTATGTAAGTATTAAACTTAATAGGCTATGTAACAGAAAATTACAAATAAATAAAGTTTATTAACATTGTAACTAATAAATACCATCAGATAAAATATATCAATATTGTTATCATAACTAAATTTAATTTTTTTCTATATTGTGATATTTATGCATTGTTATTAGCATTTCAAATATAATACAGTCCATTAAAGATCTAAAGACAGATCATAGATGCTTCTGTTAAAGCAGAAGGATTGGTATCTAAATGTCATGTGAGACACTGGGGTTCTGGATGTGTCATCGAATAGAACCACAACAAAAACATAGGTCATCACTGTCACCGCTATAACAACAGCATGATTAGATTTCATTTCCCCACAACAGTCTCCCGAGAAGAATCTTCTGAAGAATTCATTATAATAAATATTTCCTTTCTCTTTATAAATTTGGAATAGTGTTTCAGACATGTTTACACAAGGTACAGTAAATATGTTAAGTAATTGATATGTATTTTTATACCCACTCTATGAAAAAATGAAAGTTCAAAAACTTGCTGTCAATTCATATATTTTGAACAACAGCCCACACAAAAGGAAAGGACATTATGCACATTTTCACATTGAAGTGTGAGGTCTGTTCCCCGCAAAACCTCTTCTAATCTGCACATTATCCAGTGGGGACATTTTACAGTGCTTTCATCTGCCTGCAAAGACCCAGATATCTACTGTACATCAGGTCTCTTGTCTCTATTACTACTACTACAATAATAATAATAAACCCTTACACTTATGTAGTGCCTTTCTAAACACCCCATTCCACAGGAAATGGGGACTC